ACAAAGTTCATCACTGAAAACAATGACTCACATGATTATGTTGATGAAAATACTGTTAAAATTGTCTCTGTGAGATTTTTCAGTGAAATGTCTAAGAATGGAATCTCAGAGTTTCAGATCCCCATTTTCTTCCATTTTCTGCATTAATATAGTTACTAAACAACCTCTATCAGCTCCTCTAGTTCAGTTCTTAAATTAATTAATTTTTGCCTCAAAATTGAAATGTTCTGTAAATAAATCAACTGCATCTTAAAATTATTCAAATCAATCTACTGCAACATTTCCAAATTTGTCTAACATTACACTATCCACATACTTTATGTACATCCCCTGAGGTGAAACCTGTTACCTCAAGCTAATCTGAAAGATTGCAGAATCCATTTTGGAACTAACTGTAGTCAAGAAAAGTCTGGCCTCAATAACTGCAATGCCCAGCCTGATTAAGAGTCTTGGAGAACTAAAAAGCTAGCCTTTTGTGAGATTTCATTGGTCTAATAAAGATGCTTGTTTGTAATTTAGGATAACATGTTAGCAGACCCATGCTGTCTCTCTATGTAATAATCCTCTTGGCTGTTTTTGCAGGCGGGACCACTGGGTCTTCAGAGGATTTGATCTACAGCACCCATCAGCTGTACTCATCATGGCCAGTGGAGATAATGAGCTTTAGTCCTAAACAACAAATGGCCAAAATTTCCCCCCTTTTCCTATTTTTCGCTCCAAAGGGATGTAGGTCTGCATTGCCTTCGGGTCTCTGTTCCTCCACAAACCTGTCTACCCATGCAACCTTAGCCTCTCCACAGCCTCTGCCCTGATGCCACCTGGCTGAGGTAATGAAACTGGTTCAACAGAAGAAGGGAAAGGAGAGAGAGTTTGTGATTGCTTACCTGTTCATGAGTCCACTCCAAAGCCTTGAGCCTGCACTGCCCATCCCACACAGGAACACACCCATTCAACCCAGTGGGGTGGGTGACCATGCCTTACTCTCCTTAGGCACCAAGAGAGTCACAGATGATGCTGGCTAATGCTGAAGCCTCCTGTATTAGCTGCCCCAGCTCCAGTTGCACCTCTGTCACCATAGCAATTGCAGCCCAGCTTTAGCAGGCTGTGCATAGTATCCTGGTATTGACATGATATTCTTTCATCCTGCCCTCTGATCCTTCCAAACTCAGTGACTGATGCTTTGAACCTAATTGAGGATGTTGCTTTGTGGACCAGGAAGACCTCACATGCTAACAAAAAATGTTCACATGCCACCCTGAGTATGCGTGCCATAGGTTCACCAACACTGCTACAGGGAGTACAGGAAGGGGGGGGGTAAAGGCTGTGGAGAACAAATCAATGGAGATCTCTAGTGAGTGAAAAGCCCTTGGACAGTTCTTCATAGAGGCAGTGAGAATGGTAGCGCAGCACTGCAAAAGTGAAGAATTTGTGATGTTCATGGTCTTTGAAGGTACACATTTTTACACATCTATTTACAGTCAGTAGTATGAAGGGGAGGGGATTTGTATAGATGTGCATACTGCCCAGAACAAAAAAGTGTGTATTCAGATGACACTGAAGAAAGCAAGCCCTCTGAGTTTACTTTGGCATTAGTTCACATAGCTGTCATAGAAAGTCTTCCAGGGCCATTTGAGGGCTGATGGCTAGAAGCGGGTTGACCATATAGAAAAATATTGCCAACCTTATTTAAACATTATATGTCCTTTAACATGTATTGGATGGATCTTTTGCTGGTGCAGAAATGTTTAAATTTACTTAGAAATGTACTTCTAGATATACAAAGAGTGTTCTGATAGTTGTAGCTATTTTGATCAAAAGTCTCATTGTTTCCCTTTAATACTTCTGATGTTTTGCTTGAGCAGAAATCTTCACATTGGTTTTGGATAAAATTCAATAGCATCTCTGTAGTGCCTTAATATGCTCCCCCCCCCCTATATTGAAGATACAAAATCTTTCCTGAGATCCATCATGTAAGTTATAGGCCTGGAACCACTTATGTGAAGACTTGGAACTGTTGACATCTGTTGATTCGACAAAATGCAGAATGCATCCAGAGCTCATTTGTCATAAAGAGAATCTTCTGAGCTAACCTTGTTGATCACCACATGATAAAGTGACTCGAAAGTGTATGGCTAGGGGCCTAAGTGCAATAAAAATCATATACGATATTCCATACCAGCTTATCTCCAAATTATTATTTGTGTCCAAGCACACCAAGTTATTTATTCTTATAGAATAATTTTTTTAAGCACACTTCTTAGGCAAAGTAGCACTGAAGTCAAACAGATCATACACAATTTAGTCCCCTCAGAGTCACATTTTGTTACAGATTTCACACAGATCAAGACATACAAAGGTAGGCATTTAGTCATTGAGGTAGTTTTGCACCAGCCAATAGAGTGACAAAAAAGGCCTAGGTCAATTATTGAGTGAACCAAAATGCTGAGAGGCAGAAAATACTGTAAATAGGGTTCCATTGAGTAAATTGGTTCCATATGCTGAGAGGCAGAAAATACTGTAAATAGATGGTTGGTTCCACTGAGGTGGGGACACTGGAATTCTCAGTGGGTTCAGGAAATATAAGCGTATGTGAAACTGTTCCACTAGCCCTAAATAATCCAACTCCTAATCCTCAGTCCACTGTAAAGCTAATGGGGGTCAGAAAATACCTCACAGATCATATGGTGCACTTAAACAATTTTTGGGGTTTGTGAAAGTTAAGGAGAAAGAACCAGATTTAGATACATGAATCTCAAGCTTCTCTTTTAGTATGATATTTAGTATGATTCAGAAAAGAACATGCACAGACTCAAGACAAGTTGGGACTTGAGGCAAAGGTCAAGATGTCCCATCACACTCCACACAGAGAAGATGACATATCTTATATCAGCGCTAGTGAAATGACAGTGTCTTCCACTTCTACCCTTTGGTGCAGCAGACTAGAATGGACAATATGGCACACACAGCTTTTTTGTCAACACCATAGTACTTTCCTTTAGTTTCCAGTCTCTTGTTCCTTGAGGCAGCTGTCTCTTTTGCCTCATGACACAGTTAACCTCTGTGGCAGGGACTCACTCCTAATTGCAGCATAATTACAGGGAAATCACACCAGTAATAGACTGGAAATCTTTTGACTTTCCATGACATTATATATTTTCCCCTGCCCAGTTCATTTGATTTTGCCTTTAGCCCCTCTGTACACCTTTTGTAGAAACAAACAAATCTTATTCTTTTGAATTTAAGGTCCCACTGTTGCTACAAAAAGGCTGTTAGTAGTCCAAAATGTATAAAGGGAGTTAAAGTACACAACCGAAAGATTGAACTAGGGGAGGAGGGGAATATATAATTTAATTCTCAATGCAAGAACTGGAGATGAGCAACAGAGGAAAGCAGCAGCAAAAAGAACTCTGAAACAGAAATCCTATATGGTAGGGTACATAACTTCATTGCCCATAGGATGACTGTAACTGTAGCACCTTTGGATCTGGCCTGTTCTCCTAATCCTCCTTCACTAGCTTTTGCCCCACAGTGACTAGATTAAGAATTAATGCAAATGGCACCTTTTCTCCTAGTTTTAGGGATAATGTTTATGGCAGGGTTATATCTGGGGAAGAAGATACTAACATACTCTCCTGGCATGTATACTTCCTTTCTCACATATGAGAATTGGGCCAGTGGGAGCACTTTTCTGAACCTACTGTGGCTTCAGTCAAAAACGAATGGGGAAAGTTTGAGTGAAAAAGAAGCAGGGAACAGGAATGAATAAAAGTGAGGGTTTAAGGTGGAAGGGATGACAGATGGATAGGGTGCCTTCTTCTTTGTTTGTGTGAGAGAGCCCCACCCAGTGCTTAAGCCTTAGCCAATGTTGGCATGCAGCCTCCAACTGTTTACCCCATGAGAATATGGACTTTGTAGTGGTAGTAGGTGGTTTGTCACTTCTGCTGTACACGTCTGCAAGTAAGCAGTGGTGAACTCATTGAGCCTTACTTCAGAGTATGTGTCTATACATTTTGCTTGACTGTAAATAAAGGGAAATGTGCTTTCTGTTGTGTTCTTAAAATGATATGAATACTTACCGTATTAGCACCCAAAGCCACAGCAAGAGAGAAACCAATGTGCTGCAGGGAAGACCTAGGTCGGTTATAGGGCATATACAACTTGTTTCATTGGCTACCTATCCATTTATGGGCATAATACAAGATAGTTATGATCTATAAAGCCCTACATGACTTGGGTTGTTATGATCTATAAAGCCCTACATGACTTGAGTTCAGGTTATCTGAAACACCATATCTTCCCATACAAGTCTGCCTGGGCTTTAAGATCTGTGAAAGAGGGACTTTTCACAGTTCTACTCCCTTCAGAGGCCCATCTCGTAGGAGTTTAACAGAGGGCCTTGTCAGTGGCTGCACCCAGGCTCTGGAACTCCTCACCAAAATAGGCTAGGCTTGGCCCCTCTCTGTTCTCTTTCTGGCAAAAATTGTTTTACTTAAGCAGGCATTCGGCAGTGAAGAAATTTCATTTACAAGATCCCAGCTGATGTGCTTCGTTTTACTGTTTTAGTGTCATTAGTACAATTTTTGATTGATTCTAAAGAGTTTCATTTTAATTGCATAGTATATTAAACAATTAAACAATTAATTAATTAATTAATAACTAGGAAGGGTAGTTAATTTTTGACCTATAAAGTAATTAAAGAGGCTCAATCAAAGCCATGTTCCTGTTTGGTTCAATGAAATCACACCAGGTTGCCTCCGCATGGCAATTTGTAGACTATCATATTGTGACTGAGGGATCATATCATGGAAAAGAGTACAGAAGAGATATCACTGCTGCTCTCACTTCAGAAACACAGTTCCCCCCTTCTTTCTCTCTTAATTTCTCTCTTAAGTTGTAAAACCTATGGATTGTGACCAATGGTGAGGAGTGGAGGGAGACCGCCATCAGTCAACGCAGATTGAACTGTGCTAGACCAGTTATTCAGTTCATAGGTTCAACATACACTTTGGGGAAGTTACCTAGGCTGGCTAGGAGATTCTAAGAGGTGCATCCTCAAAAAGGTAGCTTCCCTGAATTCTGCCTCAATATTATCCAAGTGTGGGATGAAACCTAATAATTTCTGGAGAGGAAATGAAATTTTAACTCCAATACTGAAAAATCCCTGTTTTTATTCATTTAGAAAGCACATACAGCAATGAACAGGGGAGGAGGAAAGAGATGCAAAATAGGTGACCAATCATTTCAAAAGTAAGAGAAACAGAGATATTTCCCAGGTGATTCCTACTCCCCTCAGTCTTGCAGGAGTGCTCAATCTGTTGTATCTCCAATAGATTAGAAAAGGGAAAGCCACCCCTACTTTTTGAGAAAGAAAATGGATGTCTCTCTCCCAGAAATTCTTCCATCCAACAGACTAGCAGCTATAAAAGTTTTTTAAAAATCAGTTTTGCCTTTTTTTCCCATCTATGCCCGATCTCTTCCAAAGAAAGCTGCATTTATTCAAGCCATGGTTTCTTTCCTCTGTGTCCGTCTCTGATGACAAGTAAGAATACTTGTGAATGACGACCGCCCTTTAGTTCTTGACCTTTTCTTTAATTTCTTCTGGTGTTTAAGTGAAATTCCAAGTTCCTCCATTATGGCATTGAAAGAAAGACACTGATTTCCAAGGAAAAAGAAAAAAGAAAGAAAGAGGAGGAGAAAAATAAGGTACTGCATTTGATACTGGTTTCCTCTAGTTTGCACAATTTACCCCTAGTTTTTCAACACAGATGCTGGGAACTTTTGGCTCAGTTTGGCCCAGAATCCTTCCACAGACACTTTCATATGTGCAGAACAGAATTAGAAATCTGATGTAATGAATGTAATGGCTATTTTGTGATAAACAGAAAATGTTTAATATTGGTGGGCTTCTTTTTAAAAAGTTGAAAAATGCACATAGTCCAAATACTGAGATTTTCATGAACATTTCTCAGAATCCTGTTTGATGATAATGAAAGCCACGTGTCTCCCCGTAGAGCAGTGGTTCCCAATCTTAGGTCTCCAGACATCTTCCAGAACCTCTGACGAGCACAACTAATGGTGATGGCATCTGGGAGTTTTAGCCCAACATCTGCAGAGCCAAGGTTGGGAACCATTGACATTGAGGTACGTTAGTAGTGGAGAAGGCAGGGCTACAATCAAACCATTACTCTCTTAAAAATACTATATATGAGGATGATCAGAGTTCAACAAATTTATAGATAGTGGATTAAATCCAAAAGTGCCCCTTTGCACTGAAAGTACTCCTTCCAGGGCCATAGGAATTTCAACCCCCAGTACGATCTCATTCACCTTTCTCATCCAGTAGCCATTCAAGCTGATTTTCAAGGGAGGCATGGAAAGGAATTGTTCCTTTCTTTCTAACCTGCATCAATCTGTATTCAACCAAAGTCCAATACTTGGAAGCAAAACAGTGAGGACGGTGGTGGTTCACTACTGAGTTCTTAGTGAGATGGGGCCCATCCTGTAGTGGATCTTCCCTTAAATGGATCACAGGATGCTGCAGGGTTGTGGGACACAACATACCCTGGAAACCCCCAATTATGTTTTCAGTTTGCTTCTTCTGGAACTATTTGAAATTTAGCTGTGCAATGATGATTTGCACTTCAGTACAGTGCAAGTTTTTAATATGAATTTACAGTATATCATGATTCTAGAGATTGGTGAGAGGGGGGATTAATTATGTCCAAATGTTAATGTACACCTATGTAATGTGCATTTACCCAACAAATCAATAAACAACATGCAATTGTCCCTCACTTTTGTATTTTCCCCAATTTTATACTGCAGCTCTCCAGTGGAAAAAACAAGCCGCTAGGTTTAGGCATAGAGGAAAGTCTGCACAAAAATATGCCTAATTATGAAAATGTATACAAATGGATTACATTAAGGAAAGCCAATTGCAAAAGTGCATATTAGACAAAACTGAAATTGTGTGTGAATTTTGTACAATTTAAAAAAAAGCAAGAACAGGATGAAACAAAGAAATAAGCAAAAATTTAAAAAATGACAAATGACAAAACTGTAATTGAAAATTTAATCTAGAACTAACCAAAATCCAAATTTGGACCTTAGCTAGTTCAGTCATTTTGACTTCAACAGAACAAAATCATCTCAAACCCAAATAATAAATGATTTACCTATGTTGCTTATCAGACTACTTACTACCTGCTGATTACATGACTACCATCGTTCTTATTCCCTATGATTTTTATAGGATAAACATTTCCAACCAGAAAATTTCGTCTTCAGCCTTGAACTTCTTACACTAATACTTCTTCCAGCCCAGCATGACAAAGATAAAGCAAAATAGCAATATGCTTTTGGCATTTACAAAGTACTGTATTTCCTTTCTGATTTAAGTCTATGTCGTGCAACTAGAGATTGGAAAGGCAGATGTTTGGCTGCCTTCTTAGATGAAGAGACAGCTTTAAATTAGAACATTTTAAAGAACAAATTTTAGACAGGTCTGTGTCCAGATCACACGGTCTATGCTGGGAAAAAACTTCAGGGGCAGAAACAGTGGCACATTAAAGGAAAGTAATAAACATCTGTGGTCACCCAGATTGTACAGTGAAGTGCCAAAGTGGATGTCATGTATGTTTGTCTTTCAAGACACCAATGATTCATTATGTTATAATGAACAGAATACTGTATATTGCAAGACCCTGAAAAGGACACAAAATTCATAATTTACTGGACCTGTTTAGTTATGTAGCAAGACCTGTGTTCAGTCACCAGGAATTTCATTTCTTCCCCTCCATCTGCCACACTGAAAATCGGTTCTGTCATTCCCTTGTGTTTAAGAAAACAAACTGCAGTATGGTTTGTCTGTGGGGATTATTGTGGAGGAAGCTGTGTACGTCTTTGAATTACAGCCTGTGGCAGGAATTATGCACATAACGCAGCAGAAGGCCTTATTTGCTTTCAGGCAAGTATTGTAGCTCAGATGTTGAACATATGCTTTGAATATTAAAGGTCCTAAGTTCAAACCATGGCATTTCCAGGTAATGCAAAGAAACCCTGGAGAGCAGTGCTGTATCCAGTCTTTCACTGGATATTCAGCTGCTGTTGTTTACAATTCATGGGCCAGCAGAGAGGGGAGGGCTAGCAAAAAGAACTGGGAGTAAAGAAAAGGCTGGGTAATGAAGAAAAAGTCAGATAAACTTCTTAGCAGGCGGCAGCAATGGGAGGATGGTTCCATTTACTTTAATTACAAGGGATGGTGCTGGGTTTGTGGTTTTATGCATAACTTTCCAAATGTTCCTGAATGTTTGGAACAGTGCATAACTCTTCCCATACATTCTTGCCCTTTTGTGACCATCTGAGGAATGTCAGAAGTCATGAGTATCTGTGGGGTAGGGGAATGATGGCCTGCTCCCTCCAAGAATCCTAAACTCGGTTTTCTTTCAATGTACATAGGTAAAAAGTGTGGTCTGGTCAACCGTTCACAGGAATTATTAATAGAATTATGCCTACAGACATCCTTGTCACATTTAACACAATGAGTGTTAACAGCTTTACATTGCTGCAAGCATGAACAGAGATTTAAAAGCTGGCGGCAATGTAGGGCTTTCTAAAAACAGGCTTTCAATACAGCACTATTCCTTGCACTGCCCACATGACCACACCAGGTTGTATAGCCACTGCAAGAAATAGTAGTTAGAAAGACTGCATACAATAGTTGGTGAAGAGAGATACTGGAGGAGCAGGTAAAGGAAGGAAATGAGGAGTATCCTCCCATCACTAGCTCCTCCTTTCTATTTCAAGCTGTCATGGGTTGTTAACGGCCATCAACAGTGATATTTCTGGTATGTATGGTCCTAATCTTCCTGGGGATGGATGTAAGGGCAGCATGATAAATAGGGGACAGATTAAATCTAAAACTTCCACCTATGTGCATATGTTCGGCCTCTCTGACCTCTCTTTCAAACCACCTATCTTCTTGGTCTAAAATGAGTGCACGCTGGTCATCAAATGAGTGCCATTTGTCTTTCAAATGCAGGAACACTGCTGATTGCAGTCCTGAGCCATTGCCCCTCCTGTGCTAGGCCATTCTCCAGTTTAGTGGCTGTGACACAGAAGTGAAAGAAAACAATGAATCAGCACACATGTTGAATTATCACAATTGTGGACATGGTCTCCAATGATTAAGACAAGAACATGAAAGCCAAGTTGTATTATAAAAACTCAGTATAAAAGCACTAAGCAATTGCTGATTGCAAAAGCTAGGAAGAAAAGTAATAAAAACAATGTGAAATTAAAGATATTACTTTTCTACCTTGGACTGACGTAGGAGAATAATGTTGCACTACTGATAAGTAAAACAAATGAGTTCTGTCATGATTTGAAGAGGACAAGCCCTCTTTGTAGAATCTTGTAAACACAGTGGACTAAATTCAGTTGTTAGTACCAACTAGAGTAGGATCAATGCTGAATTAAGTCCCATTTATTTTATGGGTCTACTTTAAATGGGACTTTAGCCCTCTGTTGTAGCCTAACAGTGCAAATGGAATTTAGCCCTCTGTTGTAGCTTAACAGTGTAAATCAAATCCTACATACAGTACTTTCCATTTAGATAAATGCAACCTCTGAGTAGAACCACTAAGGGCTGGGACGTAAATATATAAGTAGTTTCGAAGTTGGCTAACAGTATTGTGAAATCTTCATCCTTAGAGAAATCTTGGAGCTATTACAGCCATGGAGCTATTGGACCTATTACAACCACTTAAAATCACTAACAGAATTGGAGGAAAGAAAGACATGGGGGGGGGGGAACTTGGATTGATTGCTGCTGTTTACACTGGCCATGATACAGCAGATAGCCAGGGATTCTGCTTTTAGAAAGGACTCTGTGTGCATTGTCCCAAGTATTGGGACAGAGAAGGGACTCACAGGAACAGCATTGCATGTGTTCCTCCATCCATCTAGGTTCAGCATACTGAAGCATCCAGTGCTCCCAGTTGGTTCTCTGTGTGTATGTGCCTACCTTAGGCTGAGTTTACCAAGCAATATTAGGTTGTCTATGGAAAACCTCCATAAATAGTTATCTTTGGAGAAAACACACTGAAACAAAATAGAAGACTGGATGACAATTCATGTAATATAAATACAGAGTGTGTGATCTGATTCACTACATTGCTATTCTAATTTAGGAGCAGGATAAATTCCTGGTTTATAGAAACTAATTTAATTATTTTTTGACATAAAAACAGTATAATTTGTCTTGGAATTTTATTGCACTACAATGAGATAAACAGGACTTTTTCAAAATCTAAAGCCAACAGATACAGTGTAATCAGCCAGAAAGATGATGGTTGTAGCTACTGGGTATTTTTGATACTCAAAGAAACCTCTGCTTGGAGAAGGTAGAATCATATTAACTTTCAGCTCAGGATAAAAACTAATATCTAAAACTCTTGATTTCAGATATTGGTGTTTTGACTGGAAGGTAAAGTTTTAATTAGTTCTTCATGAAGAGGGAAAGAAAATCAAAACAAAATTATTCTTACCTGAGAACACTGAATCAGACAAGATGAATAACTGATCCCAATCCAAATCAAAGAAGCATATTGACCCTCATCCAAATTCAGGTCTGTGTAACAAGGGACATTGCCCATAACAGTAGGTCTTGTAAGGCAGATGGTAGCAACCACACTTACTCAAGAATAGGGATGGAGAAATGTGTTCCCATCCTTGTTACAAAACAATTAGGAGAATGAAGATCAAACTAAAGGAGTTGACAAGCTCATATTTAGAAACAGATGCATATACTCCAAATTTGTGCTGTGAAAAGAATTTCTGCACAGCTGTATGCCTCAGCAATCAAGACTTGCAAATTATGCCTATGCTTATCTCCCAGAGGCCAATCACAAAACAAAGCAAGCAGATTTGCAAGATACAGAGTGGAGAAAATATCATGCCAGGCCTTACAGATTTTTTAAATCACATAATGGAGTGCAATTTCTAAATGAGAGCTGAGCATCTCATCTAGTTTGATACTCGCTCTGCTCTCAGGGTGTGCATTCTAAATGAGGAAATCCAACTGACCTGCCGAAGCCATGCTAAATCCAGGAAGGGTCTTTGCACAATGTTCTCATATGCACGTTACCTTTATCAGATTGGGGTGCTTGTGCATTAGTGTAAGACAAACCCAAATATTATATATTCCACCAAACACATAGACTGGCCAGTATCCTGTTTCTAAAGTTTAAAAAATCATGCTGATGTAAATGTGGCACCAATTATGGCCACCAATAAGGGACTGCATCATGCAGCTGCACAATTGGCTGCACGTCCCCAGCATGAGTGATTGCAAGAGGTGCCAGCAGAAGTTCTTTGGGGATCACACTTCTGCTGAATCGTTGCATAACTACCCTGGGCACAACCTTAGGTTGCATGTGCGTGATTGTGCAACAGGGTTTTGGCCACAGATTAACTGCAGCACTCTAATATACAACTGACTAGATAGTAAATTAGTGAATTAGTTTCCTGGCTGCAGAGAATTAGTTATCTGGCTGCCGAGCCAGGGGATGGGAGTTGGATTCCCCATTGTGCCTCCTGTGAGTAGAGCCAGTCTGTGTACAGTCCCAGGATGCCCCTCCATGAAGAAGGGCTGAGCAAGTTACTTCTGAGTACTCAGAAGCTAGTAAACCCTAGAAACGGATGCCATAAGTCAGAACTGACTTGGTGGCACATTTATTATTATTATTATTATTATTATTGGGGAAAAACCTCTCAGTCATCAAGAAACAGCCTGCCGTTTGTCATGTGAGGCTGCTACCATTCCAGAGCTCTCCCAGGCACATGGAAGAAACTACTTCTACCTGGGTCCTATCCAAAACTGTGTGGTTCATTAGATCTGAGTCTTTTTTTCTCCCCAAGGTAGGTTGTCAAAGAGGTCTGCTATTAACTGGACACACCTTTTCTCTACTGTAACTATACAGTATGAATTGAGGGCTGTGTTCGAATCCCTCGTTCTTCCCGAATTAATTTCCCACAGTCTAACTCCGTAGACAAGGTAGTTCCAGAAGTGGAGTTGGATGGATGAGTTTGCTTGCACTGCAGTCCATAAAAGAAACAAAATGCCTTTGGAGCATGCAGAAAGGAAAAGATGGAAGAAGGAAAAAAATAGGATAGAAATGATTAACCAAAATGTTTAAAAAATTAGAATGAGAATGATAGCAAAATTATAGGACATACTATATGGAAAACAGAATTTGACAAACATATACAACAATAAGAGGAACCTTGAAGAAGAACCTTGTAATTCATCTGAGCATCAAAATATTAATATTTTTAAAACCTTATAATTCATACCAAGGATCTACTGTTTCTATTCTCATTAATGCACTGTTCGTGTTCTCATTGAATGCTGATAGAAAATAAGAATTCATAGGATAATACACAGCTTGGAAAAATGTACCTTTTTTGGACTTCAGTTCCCAGAATTCCGCACATAACATGGTCATTGGCCACTCTGATGGGGCATACTTGGAGTTGTAATCCAAAAAGCAACTTTTCCAAGCTGTTTAAAATACCCATATTTGACCTTTCTTGTCAGTGGCTTACTTATAGCAAGGTCCTTTGAGCTTACAGCCTGGCTTTGATGAAAGTCCTCCACCTTATCACAACCATGATAGTCTCCTCAGCTAAGCTCTTCCCAGATTTAGAGATCCTCAGTTACTCGGTCTTAAAGAGTAGCAGTGATACATGATTGTTCTGACGTTTTAATTCCTCAAACAGCCGCATACACAGGGTTTGTTCCAGTTTCTGAATTATGAATTGACCCACAATATCTATAGTAACCAATGCATGATTTAAACACTGTGCAAATAGAATCTTGATAAACTGAGCTTTGTACACACTGATTAAATCCAATTGCAAAAGTAAGTTTTGATGTAATTATAAGCATAGCAAGAAGATTGCTGTTTTGCACAATGTTACCAACAGTGTACATTTATGTATGTGTGGACTGCTAACATAGCATGGAAAAGAAAGAACAAAGTACCATATTTTTTGCACCATAAGACGCACTTTTCCCCCACAAAACAGGGGGGTGGAAAGTCTGTGCGTCTTATGGAGCGAAGAAAACAGATTATATTTTCCTGTTTTCTTCTCCTAAAAAATTGGTGCGTCTTATGGAAAGGTGCGTCTTATGGAGCGAAAAATTCTCCAAGTTAAAGAGGAAAGCAATTTATATCATATGTGGAGCAGACGCCACTGATATTCAAGACCTGATAATAACTTGTGGGTAAAAGTGCTTTATTATCAGCATTCATTGTCTCCTTCTAAACCTGCCCACCTGCAAAAATGTCATACATGCTTCTGATTCTATGTGATGATCATGTTATTGTGAGCACATATGATGCTTAATTTGTGGGGAAAATGATAGTTGTTTGGACTGTTATTCAGGGTTTTTGTTGAAGATGGATTGTGTGCACTGGTAGGAAGCCCAACTTAGTCTTGTGTGTATGCTACACTGTACAATTCTCATTGGAACACTGCTTGTTACTTAAAACAAGTAGAGCATTTCTTAATACACTGCAAAGGAGACACTATGTATATAATCTCAAATTGGAACAAGGCATCTCAAGCAGAAGGCAATTATGACCCTTCTGAAAGCCTTAATGAGAGGCATACAAGTGGCACAGAGGCACATATCCAACCATCAGTAGGTAGTCATCTGTTCCCTAAAGATTTAATGAACAACTCTCCTGCATCTCACAGAGATATTGTAGCCATGTTCAGCAAGGAGGGGGCTTGGCCAACTCAGAACAGGGAGGCAAAAAAGAAGGAATCCTGAGTTTGAAATCTGCTATGGTTTAAGACCTTTAAGTGGGGAAAATTTAGGTGGGGATTCTGGGAATTGTAGACTTTCCAAGCTCTGACACACACAGAATTTTCCCTTTCACCTAACTCATACTCCACACAGTCTTTCATTCCTCCACCTCAGCGTGGATGGGTGAAGATCCTTAAACCTCACCTTGCTGTATGCTAAGATCCCTTCTCAGCCGATCAGCTCAGAAACAAGGAAGACATATAATTCTACTAGAAGCAACATTTGGAAGGATGAGTGTCTCTATGCACCTTCTCCTCTGTTTATACTACATTCCTGGCAACCTGATATGCAACCCTTTGGTGGATGGTCAGGAACATGAAACTGACAGGGAGGGGGATTAATTTTTTAATGTGTTCTTTGAATTCTTTTCCTCATGCAAATTTATCCCTTGTAGAGCCACCGAAATTTGCCTTACCTGTTCAATGTCACTGTTCTTCCTTGATTTATATATGAATTCTCCAATTGCTACAAAGACAGAAAGAACCAGCCCTGCTGCAAGCACAATAAAGATCCCTCCAATATTCTCCACACCCAGGGCACTGGCTTCTTTGCTGTCCTCCTCAGGGCAACCATTGCCTCTCCACCATTTCTCCTTCATCATGTGCAGCTTTCCTTCTTCTTGTAACTGGAGAATGGCAATCGTAATTTTATCTCTGTAAGGAGATCCTGGAGAAAAGGGAAAAGCTTTGTTATCTCAGTGTTGCTAAAAACTGAGCTGGGTCTTAGTGATTGCCTTCCTCTCCTAACTCACTTCTCTCAAAAACCTGATCATCTAAAGTTCATATTCACTCATCTTTCCAAGTTGAGCAGTTGCTGTACCTTCCATAGCTATCATATATGTGGAGGATGACAAGTGTGAATGAGAGAACCTCTTATACACACAGAGGTGATTTACAATCCTACAATTACAACCCCGAATTACAATCATGAAGGTTCCAGTCTATCCCCTTCAGACTTACTATTCTAGGAGGGTAATGGAAATGACAATGGAGTTGGCAGAGCTTGAGAACTCTTTTTCCTTGTGTGTTTGATTACAACATTAAGTAATTCCTGAACAGGACATTGATTTTATACATATTTTGAAGAACACTTCACAATACAAGTAAAGAATTTCTTCTTACAATAGCATAGAAAAATGTATATTCCACAGCCAGTTCATCTAAGTTAAGATAATCTTTACTCTTATATAACAGAATACTTAAATCAATATTTTTCTCAGCTCTAAGAAAAACAGCCATATTGCATGGTTGGCAGTACATGACTAAGTGCAATGTCAAAGTCTTTAGTTTTCAAAGCTTCTAAAAAGAAATAATTGCAAGTGCATCTTTGTGCTGCAATAATATGGCACACTACCGTGATATCCTCCAAAGCATTTTTATGCCAAGAAATAAAAGCACAGCATATTTCAGAGAGCTAGTGTAGTGCAGTAGATCAAATGACAGACTCGAATTGACAAAAATCTGAATTCAAATCTTAACTTCGTCATAGAAATTCAATGGGGATGGCAATGGCAATGGTAAGCCACTCCTTGAACATCTCACACACCTTAAAAATCACACTAGAGTCCCTGTAAATTGGAAATGACTCAGTGATACATAATATGCACACAACACATTTCATCCTTAGGAATAAAAAACTGAAAGGTCTCTGGATAGACTCAAATTATATAAAGAGTATTTTAAACCCTCTAACCTATATATTCTATGTGTAACATATATTCAATGTATATTATTTGGGATCTGTGGGGGGAAGCAAAGTGTGCATATGTTTTTGTGTAAGGGAAAGAGAAAGAGATGGGAGGCTCTATCTCATAGGATTGTCCTTTAGCAAACAGATCACAGGAATGGGTAGGAAGTTGCAGATGAATGGGAAAAATGAAAATCCCTTCATGGTGTCACCCCAATCCTGCTCGCCACAATCAGATTGGGGAGTGGCATGTTGGAAGTGGGACTGCAAACACATCTATCAGGCAACATCTGGAGAGTTTTCTGATACATTGCAAAGGGAGCTGTGCAGTAGTGGAAACTGAGGCATGCCAAATGCTTGCAATAAAATGTTGTACTAAATATCTCCAGCAAGAATTAAAGAGAAAAATTATGGAAGCATTTATTTGGCATTCACCTTGTTCTACTGTGGAAGCAAGGTACAGCCAAAACCCAACATTTCTGCTTTTATATATTTATTTAAAATACTTTTACTTCACCTTTCTTCTTAAGGCCCAAAGCAACTTACAACATTAAAAGACAGTATGTGAAGTTAACAACAGTGCATATACAATACTGAAAGGGTTACATACTACACTTAAAAAAATTAAAATAAAAAAGCAACACCAAAGCACATTCAAAGCAGTAAAGTAAAAAAAAATTCCTTAAAAAAACCCAACTCAGGCAGTTAGTTGCTAGGAAAAGCTTGCGGGAAGAGAAAGGTACACGCCTGCTTGGAAAAAGACAATAAAGATAAAGAAAGACCTCTTGTGGGGACATGTTCCAAAGTCTGGGAGGAGCAACAGAGAAGGCCCTCTCCTATGTCCCCACCAAAATAGCTGTGAAGATGGCAGGATTGAGAGAAAGGCCTCTCCTGATTGTCTTAACACCTGGGCAGGCTAATTATGGGGGAGGTAGTTCTTGAGATAGCTTGGATCCAAGGGAATTCAAGACTTTATAGGTTAGAACCAGCACTTTTTATTGTGCCCAGAAACAGATCAGCAGCCAGAAGAGTTGCTGTAACAACAGAGTTATATGTTCCCTGTGACCAGCAGCAGTTAGCAATCTGGCTTCCACGTTTTGTACATGTTGGACGTTTCTGAAAACTGTCCAGAGGTAGCTCCATATAGAGCATGTTACAGTCGCCCAGCTAGGATGCTACTAAGGCATGTGTCATCATGGCCAGATCAGACCTCTCCAGGAATGGGTGCAGCTGGCACACTAGTTTTAATCATGCAAATGAATTCTTGGCCACTGCCCAAACTTGCGCATCCAGGCTCAGAGGCAAATCCAGGAGCACCTCCAAGCTGCACACCTGTTTTTTCAGAGTGTAAGTCCATCCAGCACAGGCAGATCTGCCTGTCAACTGATTAGGAACACCTCTGTCTTGTCTGAATTACATTTCATTTTGTTCACCCTCATTCAATCCATTACTGACATCAGATACTGATCTAGACTGAAACAGCTTCCTCAGATTTAGATGGCAAGGAGAAATAGAGCTGGGTGTCATTTGCATACCCCAATATTCCGGACAACCTCCCCCAGTGGTTTCATGCAGATATCAAATAACACAGGAGACAAAACAGAACCTTGAGGGACCCCAACAGGCCAGCAACCAGGGTGTTGAACAGGACACAAAGTTTTGGTTTGGATAACACCTTTACTGAATCACCCAGGAGTTAAAAGTATGGTGATATTTCACATTTTCCAAAACTCTTCATAAAGCACGAATGTTTAAAAGTTTGAGGTGAAAGCAAAGAGTCACAAAGTGGGCTAGCTGTCAAGCCAACGTCTCTTGTGAATGACCTTGTGAATCTGCAAAACTCCATCTGACCTTGTTGACATTTTGATTTCAAGAATCATATGGCTGTACTGGATGGAAGATTCTGGTGTAATCACTTTACTAAGCTTTCCTTTAAGGAAAAAGTAACATTTCCAAGCTTTCCATTCACTTGATGGAATGGGATCTAGTCTACAAGGCTTCTGCTACAGGACACTGTTCTGCAATTACTATTTCGACAATGATGATAATACCACAGAAGAGTTTCTTAAATGATGAAGGAAAAATCAAGTTTCATTGAAACTTCCAAGGTACTATAAATTTTTGTTTCAATTGTATTTAAGCATTATTGATTTCATCACAAACACATTCATATTTTCCCAAAACCTTCTTTGAAAGCCTATTAATTGTAAAAAAAAACAAAACCCTCTTATAATAAGGCCGCCCCCTTCCACTGTATTTTGATGCCTACCATATTTTTCTGTGTATAAAACGATACTTCTTTCTAACATAATTAGAGGAAAAATTGAGGGTCGTTTTATACACGGAAGGAGGCAGTCGCACAAGGGCCCGGGCGCCTCTTGCTACCGCTGCTGCCCAATTGCCTGTTCCAGAGCTCATGGCTTGTCCGCTCCGGTGGCCAAGGCAGCAGCAGCAGGAGGCATAGACAGAGGCGAAGGAGCATTCACACGTCCTCGGGCGCCTCTTGCTGCTGCCTCCCCTGCCCACCTGATCACCTCCTCCAGTGGGACTGATAGGGCTCACCTCCCGCTCACATCCTCCTAATCCCCTTCGGTGGCAGAGGCAGCAGGAGGCAGAGGCGAAGGACCAGTCACACGTGCTCGGGCACCTCTTGCTGCTGCCGCTGCCCTGAATCACCTCCTCCAGCGATTGTCTCCTTTGGGCAGGGGACAAGGTTGCGACATGAGCTGGAGGTGAGCCCTGGCAATTGCACTGGAGGAGGTGATCGGGCAGGCAGCAAAGGCAGCAGCAGCAGGAGACAGAGTTGAAGGAGTCATTGCCCATTAACTGCTCCTCCACCTCCATCAAGGGTCAAAATTAGGGGCTCTTTTTATATATTGGGGGGTTGTATACACAGAAAAATACAGTAAGTTGTCTCTCAAAAGACCTGCCAACTGTTCTAGTTTAGTCCTTCACTGTTCTTGGTTTGAAGTTCAGAATCTTTGTACTTTCCCTCCTTCAGGGTTTAGATGTTTTCATGAAATAAATGAAATACTCTGAAGAATATTAACAATACTCTATAAAAATTTAAAACACAGGTAACATTGTTCTAAAAATCCTGATAAAGTCAGCAGTCCTTCCATTAAAACTCTGTAAGTCCTAATATTAAACATCATCGACACTCTGCCGTAGCATGAGGAATGACAAACTCAGAATTGCACAAATGTATTAAAAATTCTTGAATGCCTTAAGCATATTAAGTCTTGAGTCCTTCAGTCTAACAGTACACCTGGGAATAAGCCCCATTGGACTCAAAGACTAAAACTACTTCTGTTAAGTCAGAATTCAGGGTGGGAATTCAGCTGCGTTTCTGTCGGAAGAGATTTGTATGGGATTATCCTGTAAGACTACAAGAGTACAGAATGAAGCAGCAAGTTCTTTTAGAGGCTCAGCAGAACCCTCCCCTGCTGCTTGGTTGAGAGTATTCCTGTTGTACTATGTGCTGCCAACTCAGCCAAGTTGCTCAAACAAAGAGGGAGCCTTGCTGTTCTTTCCTTAGGGACACCCAACATATAATAATCTCCTGGCCTCACTGCATGCCTGCACACCTGCTTTTTGTGTGAGTAATCTGTTTAAAAATAAAACCGCAAAGATATGTTTAATCTGGGCACTCAGTGCCTGAAGATTTTCAGTCACATATTTTTGTGAGCAAAGAATATTTCCAGCAGCATAGAACAACTCAATGAGTTCAGTCATGATTAAATTGCTTCTGCAATAAAAAAGGCTAGTTTGTGGAGCTTTCTCAAATTATTTGTTGGAGTAAATACAGTGAACTACAGTGGAACCTCTAATTTCTCACTTTCCCCGCCTCCCCCACGTTTTTTCATTCGTATCTTGAAGTTCCGTTAGCAAGTAGAAGCAAAATTTTGCAAACGGAGCTGTTCGTAAGTTGGATTGTTCGTAGGTAGGGATGTTTGTAAGTAGAGGTTCCACTGTATTCTACCCCCACCAGCTGTATCATACTGCTCCTAATAAAAATTATCTTCATTAACCCACCACAACCTGTTAATAACCTATTATTGACATGCACAGGTACATCTATAGCTACACGTGTATGCTTCTTACCAATGGGTGTTCCTACGCCATAACCTTTGGAATCAATGAGTCCTCCAATCTGGGTGAGGTTGCAGTTCCTCTGCGTAACATATTCTATACTAGTAGATTCCATCAGCAGGGCGTAATCAGTGGTGAGCACACGCTGGATTCCCTCATCATTGTTCTTCACCAGTGCTGTCTGCTGCCTGCTGCTCATGAATGCCCACATTTTCTCGTATGTTGATATTTTAGATTTCTGAGAAAAGAAGTCAGAAGCATCAGGAAAAGGTCCTGTATGTACATGTCGACGGCACAGCATGCCTAGAAGACACTGGCACACTGTCTGAGTGTATGGGACACATGGAACCTCTTGCAATAAATCTCTTTCCACTGAATTTACCAGTATGGTTTATTTCCATCAGGGAATATACTGAGCATAGTGTTTCTTTCATGGTTTAATGTCATAAAAGGGCAGAGTTTAATGCTTAAGTTTCACAAAAGGGCAGAGCTTTAAGAAACTGTTTTTGGACTATAACTCTCTGACGTATGGTTGTCAGTTCTGTTTGCAGGAGGGTTTTTGAAACTTCAACATTTCTAAGCTCTCTTAAGCTCTGAAAAATGGTACAATTTTAATTAAGGTGCATGGGTTGTGTATTTATGGGTTTACAGTGCAGATGAAAAGTTGTGTTCTTGCCTCATCTGTTTATGACCAAATGTGTTGTTAACGTCAACCAAATAATATCAAAATAATTTTAAAAATATGAGCTCAAGTACTGAAATAAATGCTTAGGATTTTTTTTAAAAAAAATCCACAGCTTTTGAATTGTGTGTCATCTATTTGATATTTAAATTCAGTTTATAGGCTTCAGATGACTGATTGAAAAAAAAGTGGCTTTTCTCAAATTTATAAAGCCCAGAACACAACTGTTCTTTCTCTTATTCACAATCATAGAATCATAGAAAAGTGAAGTTGGAAGGGGCCTACAAGGCCATCAAGTCCAACAATGAAGAATGTTATTATCCTAATATTGCTCTTTCCATTATACTCTGGGGTATAGGTTCTTTTTTAGAAATGAATTCTTTAACTCATATTCTTTTCTGCCTTTTGAAAGCACCAGTGGTTTTTAGTTTGTTTTTTAAAACCAACCTGTAAGTGCATATTTGAAGCTGTTTTTCGATGGCCCCAGTTTAGTTTCCTACAAGCTGATGACTATACTTAAATTAGAGATGGAAAACCTGCAATCCTCCAGGTTTTGTGGAGGAACCACTTCCACCATCTCCTCACTGACCAAGATGGTAGAAACAGATGGGAAACGAAGTACTACAATACCTGGAGAAACACAGGTTCCTGATTTACATTTTTGCTTGGGAAATTAAGCCATTATAAAGGGATAGTAATATATATTAAGGGATGCTGCCTTATAACTCTACCAGGAACCAAGTCATGAAAACAGTCCATGCTGTTCCAATCACCATCTTTACACTCACAGGCTGGTGTAGCAAGATGTGTTTGTAAATAGATTCTTTTGGAAAGATCCAAGAGCACTGAAATGTTTCCCTGATGGTCAACATATAAAAGTTTCTTCAAATTGACACTTAACCTTAAGCTTTTCAGTATTTGAACTTTTATTATGTCGCCTTCCTTATGATCTGTTAAACAAAACATCATTCCTGACTTAAATGTCAAGGTAATTTTGTGTGCATATAATACCATTACAACAGTTCTATAACCTTTTTTAAATCAAATGGCATAGTCCATATGTCTGCTATCAAAAAAAACACCCATTCATACCCACAAAAGCAACAAAACACAAGAATTAGTTTAAAAAGCTAGCTTTAGTCTGTAAAATTTCATACCGTATCCCTGTAACACTTTATTGAAATAGGTAATTATGAGTCTAACTTTAGCAATAAGAAACTAGGGCAGAGAAACAGTGACCTTTCTGTCATCAGAACTGAAACATTGTTTAGGACTAATTCACCATCAGACACGGGGTGACTTCAGGAAATCCACCTGAAAGCCCTACATGCAATGGCTTTCTTCTTTTGCTCACCAACCTGCTTCTGGCTGCCAAATGTATGACTGGGCCCTTTGTATATCTCACAAACCACTGTAATTGTCTTTAAAGCTCATTCTGATGAACAAATAATGAGCATGACTCACTCATCAGATGTAGGAAGTCAATGAATACATGGAGTGAAAGAGATGCTCTATATTTATCAGAGTCAGTCCTGAGCTGGTAGTTGAGCCTGGCTTGTCCAGGGATATTTCCAACAGTAAGCTAATCACATTAATTTCATACACAAAGCATAACCCAGCTGGACTTTACTGGGCCAAATCTCATCTGCTTGGGAGATGACTGCAACCCTATCAACTGGCATACTATAGGTCAGTGATGGTGAACCTTTTTGAGCCCGAGTGCCCAAACTGCAACACAAAATGAACTTATTTATTTCAAAGTGTCAACACTGCAATTAAAACCCGGATGCTGAGGTTTTAGTTTAGAAAAACAACTGCTCCTGCACTGCAAGGGTTAAATGCTTGTGGTTGTTGTTCCCCCTATGGGCAGTATTAACAAATAAATACTTACTGGTCCTCCAATCACCCATTGGGCTAGACTGGTCATGGCCACCATTGCACCCCTCCGCTAGACCACTGCAGCAATGGATTGGAGGATAGGTAAGTATTTCTCTATGGCAACTTATGGCTCGTGTGCCCACAGAGAGGGTTCTGTGTGCCAGCTGTGGCACGCATGCCATAGGTTTGCCATCATTGCTATAGGCCCTAATACTTCCATAGCATTAATTCAGCACAGACTTTCAATGGGGTGATATTAAATGCAATGTAAGTGTCCAAAAGGAAAAAAAACACATTGTAATTTTAGGTTAGAGCCATCCAGACTTGGAAAAAGTTACTTTTTTAGATCACTATGTCCAGAGTCCCCAAGCTAGTATAATCAGTGCCAATAGTTAGGAAATTCTGGGAGCCGTAGTAGAATAAAATATTTTTCAAGCTTTGCATATACACAAATCATTAAAATGGATTTCAGCTCACAAAGCAGGAATTTCTCTTTCCCTGCCAATCCAAGACCTTTTTAAAACAGAGAAGCTTGAGGTAGAATGGTAATTTCAGGACCTCCCCACTGTCTCCTTCCCATAGTACCATGTGTCACAGTTGATGGGGCCCGACTCAATGTCTGAAGCTCCTCATTTATGTAAGTCTTGGAGAAATTATATTCCATGTCCCCACCCCTTTAAAAGGCCCTGCCTTTCTCTCTTCCCATCAGCTGGTCCTCACATGAACCACATAACCCTTTGGCAAACAGACAATGGGTTGCATTAGGAAGTGGCTTTCTGTCTACCAGCTTTTCCCATTCTTCTGGTAGAACATCAGTGCATGCAACCCATAAAATTTTTGTGGACAGACAATATCCATCCACTCATGCTAACTGCCCTTCAAATAAATATGCTCAGCTCCTCTTTGATGATTGGTCCTGTCCTGTGTCAATTGTATTTACACAATTTATGAGTTTCCTGTCATGGATTTCTGAGCAGCTGAAATCCTGTTGCTATCAGTTATGCTCTGAACAGCTGATGCCATCATCAGTCACTGTGGTTGTTCAGAAATCAAACATTTCTGATTTCTCCCCAGAAGATCCTGAGGTTCCTGTGGAATGATTTTCATTGTCAGGAAGTCATTGGGTGATGCAAGTCAGAGGACAAAGTCTTTAATTTGCTGTGACAATTTTCAGTAATAAAAGACTTCCTCCCAATGGCTTCTCAACTGTTCTAGTGATTCCATGGGATTATTGGAACTTGGAGGGAGATACTGGAAATTTTAATTTCTGAAAATTATTCTGGCTGATGCCATGGTAAGTTTTACATAGCATAATTTACAACAACAGGATTTCAGCTAGTGTCGTATAAGGAGCCATGACTTTCTTGTGCAGAAATTTCAACCCCAGTTCCTGTTGTGGTTCTTGTACTATTGGTGCAAGGCTAACACTTGTTGCATCTTGGAAGAAAATATTGTTTTAAAGCCTAGATATAAGTCTTACAATAGGAAAATACTTTATGCTTAACATAAAGGGAAAGAGGTGCTTTTAAATTTACAATAATTCAATTACTTTTTCATTCAAAATTATTTCAGAGATTTTTTTTTAATTGTAAGAAAGGAAGAAGCATTCTGGATAACACCAAAATGTTACAAAGCCATTGAGGGCCTTGCTAATGCATTCATTAGTATCTAAATATCAGGTTTTAAATATTGTCTTTTTAATGATGTAAGCCATCTTGGGTCCTTTTCCCCTTCCCCCATTCTGTAAATCACCCTTTGAGTAATTGAACTGGGAGAAAGGCAAGCTAAGCTACATACAGTAAACCCAACACAACATGAATCCAACTTCTTTCTCTCTCTCCAGAACAGAAGTTTCACAATGAAATTCCAAGAATGTGGACATAGCTAAGAACAGCCATTTAAAATGTCAAGATGAGAACAAGAGAAGTTCAAAATATTTATTAACAGAAAATGGAGGAGGTAGCAGAAGCATATTTCTTTCCAAATTCCCATAGCTTTGCCAATCTGTTGCAGCTTCTTCTAGAGTGAGAATTTCTGAAAGATTAGCTTTGTCTCTGTGTATCATGCATAGAGCTCACCATGGGGAAGAAGATAACTATAATTACCTGCATCTGTTCAGGTCTGCCCTCCCTGAGTTTGCCAACTACTGCTTCCACGTATCTGCCATATTCATAGCCTGTTGATGTACTCAGGTTGAGAGCATTACACCACTAAACCTAGAGCAGTTCCTGTGAACTAAATTCTGTTTAATGTGATTACTGCAGGGCGAAACATGCTGTGATTGTAAAGATATATGGCTTATTCCATAATTTAAATCAACTATATGTGTGAAAACCGACAAATCCTGAACTGTTAGCAAATCACAAAGCACCTTGGAGATACACCTGTGTATACACGAACACACAAACTAGTATCTTATTGGATATCTGTGTTGGAGGATGAATGGAAAAATATATAATACTTGTTTAAACTGAGATATTTTATGAATTAATGTGCCCTATATTCTTGCTCAATTCTCAAAATAAATTGTGGTCAGACTTGCCTTCAGTGAAGACAAAGCCAAGGTGGAACAAAGCAAGAAAGGAGGCAACGAGAAATCTCTAGTCAACAGCCAGAGTTATATCCCCAAGTTACACTGCTCAGAGAACAAGCCTGACTTGGAAGTATTGCCTGACCTGCTTTATTCTACAGCTTTTCACAGATGCCCTTAATACATTTTTTTACCTCCCATCAGTTCACACCTTGGGTTAGAGGTGGATTGTGGCACAGAAACCGAATCTCTCTACTGATCATATTTTGAAGACTGCAAATCTACATCCTGACAGATGCAGCAACCATTTTCTCTCCTGCACTTGTCTGGATTTCTGATCACTCTTTGGATTTACAAATCATTTCTGGATGTAGATGTTTGGGATTCACAGATATTAAAACTTGAGTATATTTGATTCACCATCCAGGGAGGGCTGCTTTTAAAAAAAGGTATAACAAAGGGTTTGTTTTTAGTCTTGCTTTCTTTGAATGGCAACCTTTTATGATATACTGTAACGAAGTTTGGAAATTCTTGTGAATTTTTGAAGTGATTTGCTATCTGATATAAAGTGAACAGTTTAGAAACCAACTATGACACATACGTTTCATGTGTCACACTTAACCCATAGCCTCATTTATGACTGTGGCCTTCGCTACTTACAGAAACAACGTGGGACTCACCATAGCTATCTGAATTAGAAAATTGCCCTACATTATATTTTTAAATAAGTCATGCTTATTTGCATTTCTTTGTGAAACTGTTTATTTTCATGTAGTTTCGAGCTAGTTGTCAAAGCCTACATTGGACTCATTGAAAACTATAAACAAAATCAACAATGAGACATGATTTTGGATATTAAAAAGTCATTGGTCATATACCTCCTTGTTATGCTGTCATTTTTACACATTTCCCACAAGCAATCTTTTCTTGAGCTCTTTTTTCCAGCCATATTCCAAATGCTGACCAAGAGTCTAAGAAATATATAGGATTTACAGTTGGCTCTTATCTAGGGTGGTGATATAGTTAATAGAGGCTTCCTGTACAGACATAGCAATGTGTCTTTGAGCAAATATTTTGAGTTTAATCTCCATACCAATTCCAGAATATACATTGCATAATGATTTGGTATGATCTTACCTTAAAGAAAGTCATTGTTGAGCCATCTCTAACAGCTCCATATTCTATCTTGGTCTGTTTTGCTAGATCATCTGCTGAATCAATGGGAGATTCCATCCTCTCGACCGTCAAGAAGGCAGCCAGATTAGCAGTGTAGGACGATATTATGATTAAGGTGAAAAACCACCATATCCCTCCAACTATTCTGGTGGAAAGAGCTTTTGGCATCAGCTCTGATCCTGTGCAACACCATCAAAACATTTGTATTACAACAAATTGAAAGAAATGTCAGGCACATGCTATGGAATATTACTTCAAGAAACATGCTACGTGTATGAGCAACAGAATAAAAATGATTTATGCAATTATACCAGACATGTCAACATTGAACATATACTTTCAAAAAGATGTATGCAGTGCTAGATGGCAAACACAGGGATCTCCTCAGATCTACACTTCAAATTTTTCAAATCTTGTTTTCATCCTGTTCATTAAAATCAACTGAGTTTTCCAGAAATATCTGCAGGCTACAATGATAGAATGAACTTATTTGAACATACTTCAAGTAATTCATTACTGTAATAAATATGGTCCAGATCAGGACATCAGGTGTTAAACCTCACACCTAAATGTGTGTTGAGTTCTTCTCATCCATATAACTGCCTGGTAGCCCAAAGCCAGGCTTAATTCAGTAATGTCAACAGGGCTTGAATAGGTAAGAAGATAAAATATAAAACATTTTAAATATATATAATGAAGATCTTAGAACAGGTCAGGTTAGAACCCTAAACCATACTGTCAGCATAATGATGCAAGGTTAATGACTGTTGATGATTGTGAGAGGAGGAATCGATGCACTGACTGTACTGGTGACTGAGATGAGTAGACACATGATATGTTAGCTAAACAGTGGTGGTTTGATACCATAAGACGGCAACAGCAAACAATGGAACAACACAAGATGCAGCAAGCATAGGACAATAAATGGGTAATTTTCACGTGACTTAATTTCTCAAGGCAAAATTCTTCCCGCTCACCCCTCTTCCATGAAATGAATTTAGCATTACCTACATTTATTGCTCTTAAATATACCAGGCCATTTTTTTTCTCAGTTGAGGAAGAGGTAGCTCTAACCTAACATTAAAAGGTAACCTAAAGCACACTCTGCAGATTCACTGGCAGGCTGCCTATTTTTTATTTATAATTTAATAAATGAACAGCTTCACATGTTAGCAAATTAAATTTTATCTCAAATGGTTAAGAGTTGTTCTCCTCTGCCCATTCCTCATCTTCCTGCTTCATCTAGGGTAAATTATCAAATTGTCCTGCAGCAAAAGCCCAAGGGCCAGGCTAGAGGTGGTGTGAATTGCTGTTGTAGGTGCAATTAATATACAGGGTTGTGTTCTGCAGCTGGCAGTGGCAGGGATGCCTGTGGAACAACAGAGCCACAGGAGATGGGGAAAGAAAGCTTCCACATCCCCAGGGCAGTCCAGATAAAAAAAATGCCTCACCAAAGTTGAGACTGGCAATTTAAAGGAAGATCTATTGGCAACAAGGATTAAACTTCCTCTCTCTACTATCTGAGGGCTGCTTAGGCTTCCTTGCAGCCACCTTTTACATTGTTTTCACATTTTCACATTTTAAAAATGTGTCCTCTAATTGGATTCCTACAAGTAGTATTATAGCTGCTTTGGACATCCATTGCAAGCACAAAACTATGTATAGAGAGTTTTGCTCACTTGCATCAGCTACAGCAGGAAAGGGAAGTGACAGAAAAGGAAAAAGGGAGGCTGGACAGCAGCCTGGATGACAATCTGTCCAGTTCAGCTAGCAAGGCACATTTCTACCCATTCATGGGACAGCAAGTCCTTGTTATTTTATGCTTTTCTGTTCTCCAAGTTCAGAGACCTTGACTCAGTTGTGGAAAAAAGCACATGCTTCTTAAACTGGACTTGAACCACGTGCATCATGTGGCTGGCTCTGTTCAGTAATCATTTTTTGGCACTGACACTTATGAAGATAATTTCAAGATATTTATGCACTAGATCTCTGATCTTGGCAGATTTATTAGTGTAGAAATATTAATTTACAAACTATAACTGGAGCCACTAACAGGATGAAAAAGGGACAATTGTGTTTTCAAAACAATAGCTAACAGATACAATTGTACTCGATATAAATAAGGCTATTTTAGTAATCTGAATCATTCAATGTCCCAAGCAGGTTGATGTATGCTCTGGTTTAGGGAAAATAAATGGGAATTTGCTTTGATGGCTTGGATCTAAATGAGTATCTCCTATTCTGTTCTAAATACATTGTTAAATCTTTATGGGAAATTCTGCCAAACACCAATAACATCCTAGGAGACACAGGTAGTTAGTCTCCTGCATTTCTTGGATTGAGCCTTTGTGCTCCACCCAGTACCACACATGGACTTCTGATGGCACATCCAGACTAATTTCAGAACAGTTATATTGAACACCTATATTCATATCTACATGTTAATCCTTCTCTTGGCATTCTGTTTAACAAGAACGCTTACTTACAAAACAAATTACATTTTTTTCTTTCCAAAGATGTACTTAGTTTTAAACTGCAGCTGATCTAGCCAGCATAAGATTCAAAGAATGCTGATTCAGTTCTTCATGAAAATATTATTTACTCAAAGCTCAGCAAAGGAATATAAATTATGCAGACACTGATGCAATGCCTCATTTTAATGAATACATATGATAATAATAATGGTGTGCTATGTTTTAAGAGCCATTGCAGCTTGGCAATAACTCTTCCACAACAGAATACCATGAAGTTCTGATATTCTCCTACCCTTGCAGCTCATTCTAGCTTTCCTTTAATTTCCTGTCACCAGTAAAGTTGATTGTTCACATGGAACAGAAAACCTGCATTTTACTCAGATTAAATTTGTTTTTGGGAACAACTGCTGATCCTGTAAGGTGTCAGTGGACACTATCCACAAACATCTAAGCAAAAAAGCTTAAAGCAGCTGTTGGCCCACAGGACCATGATGGTTGCCAGCTCAGCAGAACTATGAAAATGGAATGCAGAGTCTCTTAAATAGCATGTGATTGTCAGGGTAATGAACTATAGTTCCAGTCCAGAACCTAGACTAAGGTGTGATTTAAGCACATCCTCCCCCATTTGCCTTACGGAGTGGGGCAGTCAGCATTAGGAGGCCTTACATGCAGTTTGTTTTTATTCCATCTGGCTGGAGTGGATGACGAATATCTGTAGGTGCAAAACTATTTATCAGGGGTTCCCAACCTTAGGTCCCCAGATGGTCTTGGACTACAGCTCCCAGAAGCCTTTGCCACTGGCTGTGCTTGCCACGAGTTCTGGGAGTTGTAGACCAAGAACATCTGGAAACCCAAATTTGAACACTACTGTTCTATACATAAATCAGTATTGTGGCCCATGTAGAGAGGTGCTGCACCAGAATATGTACCTCAAAGAACCTAACATTCTCCTGGAGTTTCACATTCTTAAAGTCCCAATCATATGTATATGTTATTTAATGGAAGTCCATTGTGTTCAAGGAGCTTTATTCACAAGTAACTGTGCATAAGCTTATAAAAATAGTATATCTGCCCACTCCAACAGAAGTTGCACTTAGTTCAAGCGGGCTATTACCAGGATATGTGACTACTACTTCAATTCATAATACCTTGCTGTTTAGAACAAAATGCCTTACTTACTTCTGAGTGATGCCATTATTAAACAAGCTTGTGAGCAGGGGAACACAGCCTGTACAGCTTTCTATGTATTTTCAGTTAATCTGCCAAGTATGTCAAGTTTCAGTAACCATTTTAAGGAAGAGATGTTATAGTTCACTGGAAGACTTAAAGAAGAGGGATGGGGAAATAACACTATTAGCAAGAACCAGAGTCAGAGGCAATACTTGCTGAAGACTCTCTAGTGCCTTTTTATGGCAGACATGACAGCCAATCCTGATCCAGACTTTGCTCACGCTCTGTAGAAAAGAGAAAGTCTGATCATCACATTTTAAAATTTTAAGAAACCCGTGGCTTCCAATCAAGCACAACAAGCAGCTTCTGTTAACAAGAAAGAGCATAACAGTAGATGCAGAGGTTAGCAACCATTAATCTCTTGTTCAAACTCTAAATGTTAATGCTGGTGCACTTACAGTCCACACACGTACCACAAGTTTGTACATGGAAACATTTCCTTCAGCTTAACCAAAAATCATAATTTTTTTGGTTGATTTTATTTTAAAGCTTCTTCAAAGACAAGCAGAGTCTGGTTGGGGCTGACTGTCATGTATCCAAGGTAGTGGTAACAAGTAGGCATAGCATCCCACAGTTTGCTGTGGATGATGGTAAACTCCAAAAAAGGCAGACCATTAAGAACAACAAGTATTTGGACACTCACTCACTCTCTCTCTCACACACACGCACATACAAACAGTCACAGCTATAGACCACACAGCTGCCTGATACTGTAAAACCTTCCTCTGTGCTTTACTGACAAACTGGGACAAAGAACGTATTCTGTTGTTTCCTCTCAGCTTCAATCCATTCTACCAGAATGCATGCTCAATGCATGTTTCCCAGTTACAGCATGCTTGGTGCATGCTTCTCACTTATGGCACAATAAGCCTAAGGTACTACAATAAACTGTCTGACATCACTTCATCAATGGCCACATTCCCATTGGTGTTAGCAAAGTCAAGGGGCTAAAGTTGTGTTGTTTAATTTTCACCCAACCAGCAATTGTTATTCCAGAGATTTAAAGATCAAGGGTTCTGTGAGCTGATGTAGGGGTGTTTTACGGTTGCATGCCTTTAGTAAAATAGATAGCTAGGTCTGTGATTTCCTCAGTGTGTCACCATTTTGAGGGGGTTCGCAATGGTTAAACATACATTCTGAACACACACCTCATACAGAGGCAAAGGTTTATTAACAGAAGCCTCAGAACACACCATATGCACATACAAACTTGGCCAGGACAGGCAGTGGGTTAATTTTCCACATGAAGTGCACCTCCTCTCCATTCAGAGTAAAAAGAGTGTCTTTGTGCAGTATGCAGACTCAATAGCAGGATAGGATATTGGGGGGTGCCAAGGACTGGATGCATTTGAATGAGGCAAAAACCTGTGGAAAAGTCATTTATTAAGTTTGGGATTTAAAAAAAAAACAATTAAAATTTGACAAATGCTCACAGAATGATTTTAATGTCTTCTGGGCTTAGTCCTTCTGTAGATTCAGGTTGGATTACAAAAGGTGCCTGCTTCACTTTTCCCTGAAAACCACTTTTTATTGTTGAGAGAGAGAAAGAAAGATATAGACATATATGCATTCTGCATGACTCCTTTCTAGATCAGGTTTTACAGTATATGTTAAAGCTACAAATGGTGGAGTTTACCAGCACAGAAGCCCTTGAGCAGACTGTGGGATGTGTGCAGTAATGAGGTGTAACCGGTGTACCTTGCTGCATGAGAGCTCCAACTCCAAACCAGAAACTATTAAGTAAAGTAAAATTGTTTTCCACCACATCTGAGTCAGGGTTGCACGGGTGGGGATTATACCACTCATAGGGTGTAAACCTGTGGTAGTTAACAGAAACAGTTTGTAAACATCAGGTATAAAAATACAGATGGCACTAGCAAACCCGCTGAACAATGCACAAAATGCAAAGATTAATGAAGAAAACAAAAAGAGAAAACAAAATTAAGGCCATATTCATAAATGTACAGCCGCAGCATGAAAGCTCCAAAGCAGACTTGCAATGCAGACAGAGCTCCGTTTCCAGCCACCAGCCTCCCTTCATTCATTACTGTTATACCGTTTTACTCTTAATGTCACAAATACACCTAAGGCATCTTTCAAAGACAAGGAAAACTGTATTCGCGAAGGCTTTCACAGCTGGGATCTAATAGTTGTTGTGGGTTTTTCGGGCTCTTTGGCCATGTTCTGAAGGTTGCTCTTCCTAACGTTTTGCCAATCTCTGTGGCCGGCATCTTCAGAGGACAGCACTGAGAGTACAGAGTGCTGTCCTCTGAAGATGCCGGCCACAGAGACTGGTGAAACATTGGGAAGAACAACCTTCAGAACACGGCCAAAGAGTCTGAAAAACCCACAACAACCACAAGGAAAACTGTTTGCATACAGTACTTCTCCAATAGACACTTAAGGATTTTCCGAATATAAATATGAATATAAAAATAAATATATTCCTCTTTTGAGATGGCTGAATTGCCATGGAAAGAACTGTTTCAAATGCGATATTGAGATCCTCTATGTCCACTGAAGCAAACAGCACCTTCCATGCACAGTAGAAATCCATGTGTGTCTTTGTCATTAAAATGCCATGCCATTTTAATTGCCATTTTAACAATGCTGTGGCCAATCTCTACTTCCCACAGTATCTGTCCCACCTGCCTCTGATCCTAGCAGGGGAGATGCTTCAACCCAAGGAGCTGGGGTGTGATGCCCTCTCCAGCTTAGACTAGGGTTACCAGTAGCAGTTGCACTTCCCAGTTGTCCATTAATGTTGCACCGTCAATACAACTACACTGTATAACGAATGACGTATGTCTCCAAATGTTGAAAAATATGATGAGGAAACATGCCAGAGAATCCCAAATAGAGCATAGCCCATAACTTTCTTCTATATATCCTTTTCATATTTAGAGATACTCTTCCTGTTTTCCTGTTGTAAGCGCATATGTGCACGCGTGTGCATGTAGAGAAAGCGAGCGAGCAAGCATACAAAAACATTAGCATATGCTATGAATATGAATGAATCGACCAAAGGAATACTGATTCTGCACTATCATTTTAGATGTACAGAGCACAGGGTGGGCATGAACTGAGGTTCTCGTTGACAGTCTCTGCTACCTTATCTCTATGCACATGTGTCAGCTACAAGCCTCATAGACTACCTAATCCTTCTCAGGGGTGCTACTAAACTGCAATCTTGCTGCTACCTGGCTGAGCAGTCATTCATCTGTCTTCAGAGACCAATCTAGTGCCACCAATTGCTAGAAAAGAATGTCAAAGCTTGAGGCTTTCAGTTTGGGGTGCTCCTTGCTGGGAAAGGATTCTGTCAAACTAAGCAGCTGTTCCCTCCTTCTTCTCTGGGAGATACTTTTACATTCATTCACCCTTGAGTGACACCATCTGAGACCCTGAAAATAATGCTTTTTGGACTACAGTATGTCTTTCAGAATCTTTAGTTAGCGTTGCCATTGGTCATGCTGCCTCTGGGATTCTGAGAATTCTAGTACAGAAAAACTAAGTATATTGCTTAAGGTCCACACTATTTATCTCTAGTCCTCTTGACCAGATGTAGATAGTTCTGCTTCTGGAACTTGGTGCTTCCCTAAAGTAACTTTTGCTATTTGCATGGGCTTTTCTGGAATGAGAGCCAGTTTCTTCCTGTACATGTATATGGAAGCTTGATCATCTGTGGTTGCCTGATCCCCTCCCAGTGTAGGATGTAGCTGTAGGACTCATGAAAAGGATGGATGCTAACAAGGCTGCTCATCTCTGAAGACATATATAAGCGCAGGAGCTGTGTAAGCAAAAGGAGGCTTATGCTTACATCCCAAGGAAGCCAGATGGGAGGCTCCTCCTTCTCACAACCATGCTGTGCACATTTGCTGTAGCACTTCTACACAAAAAAATTTGACTTCTACTTGTAGATCCCTATCATGGGGCTGACTCATGCCTTTGGAAACAAGAGTGCTAACAAATAACAAAGAATCCTATGACAGCAGTGCCTTAAATATCTTACAAGAGGCTAACAAGGAAATCAAGAATTAAATCTTGACAAATGGAAGGCTTCCATGTTTGCCAAAATAAATAAAAAAAGTATACTGTGATCTATACAATTCTTGGCAAAATTATATTACGTCTGTTCCTAGCCACAGAGCCCTGCCTGCTGCTGATTCACACAGCTGTAGGACATACTTTTATTGTGATGTTTATGAATATGGCTTTAATTGACAATGTCATGCCAGTACATTTTAATTGCCATTTTAACAATATAATTAAGCTTTGAATTTATGCACTCTTGCAACTAGAGTGCTGTGCTAGGCTTGAAGCAATGAACACTGATAATAATGAAGGCACTAATTGGAACAGTTTGTTGTTAGGATGCTGTTAGTTAAATAACGTCTTCATTATTAATACAATAGGTAATTTCTTTTTAAAAATCAACACAGGATGCAGGATACAGATTCAGTCTTTTTTTTTTTGCATGAATTATAGAAAGCAACAATAAAAAAACCCAAGGCCTGTAATTTGAAACACAGGACTAAAATAAGCCCTTTATTCAATAAAGCACTGATTATAAAAGCACTTCTGAATTTTCTTAAGAAAAACTCGTGAAGCAGTTTTGGACATTTTGACCCGCCTGCTGTCCCTTGCCTGAGCTGCTGCTGCTGCTGCTGCTGCTCAGAGCTTGGAAAAGCAACTTTGTTGACGACAGATTCCCACTACTCCCATGGCCAGTCACCATGCTGGCTGAGAAAATTTGGGAGTGCATCCCAAAAAAGGGCCCTTTCCAAATTCTGGCTTCCACCATTGTTGCCAATCAGATAGAACTGTGTCTGCATGCTTATTGGGTAAAGGTAAAGGTTCCCCTTGACAATTTTTGTCCAGTCATGTTCAACTCTAGGGGGTGGTGCTCATCCCCGTTTCCAAGCCATAGAGCCAGCGTTTTGTCCGAAGACTATCTTCCGTGGTCACATGGCCAGTGCGACTTAGACACGGAACGCTGTTACCTTCCCACGAAGGTAGTCCCTATTTATCTACTCGCATCTGCATGCTTTCGAACTGCTAGGTTGGCAGGAGCTGGGACAAGCGACAGGCGCTCACTCTGTCACGTGGATTCGATCTTACAGCTGAAGATCTACAGACCTTACAGCACAGAGGCTTCTGCGGTTTAACCCGCAGCGCCACCATGTCCCCCTGCATGCTTATTACAGCAAACCAAATAATAAAGGAAGAAATGAGCAACACTGCCACTGAGTGGAGGTATCCTGGGAGTAGAAGACAGGGGCTGACAAAATGATTGGTAGCACTGTGTTTTGGAACAGCTGGAGAAGCATGGCTCCTCCAGCGGGACCTCAAAATTATAGCCAGCATGGATTAATGGAACCCTGAGCAAGATGCACCTTCAGCCTCCCCCCCATAATCAACATAAAGCTTGCTTCCCTTTCTAATTATCCATAGTGCTTAGATTATTTACAGCCTTTTCAGTATATTGTGTTGGAGTTGACACACACTGTCACCGCGTATGATACACCCTGAATTATTAATTATTTGCATGGTGTTGTTTCATTTTGTGTTGTTTTCAAAGCAAAGGTTATGTAGGCAAAGATGCACCAATTGCTGAAGCAAACAAACCAAAGAAATGAATCAAAGAGCTGTTGCCAGAAAATAAATCATGTTTGTCTTTTAAAAAATTCAGCATATTTTCCCCTCCCAATTTGTTTAGAGTGCAGAATTTGGAGCTATCACAACTGAGCCTGCCTGATCTCAAATGAGCAAGATAAGTCTTTCTCTCACAAGAATGATGTGTATTAAATACTGCTGAGTGGGGAAAACTACCCCACTAGAGGTATAAATTCCCTTGGTTTACCTTGTTGCCTTGGGCAAACTTTATTTCATTTCTTTACTACTACAGGGCCAACTTACACCAAGCAGAAGATTTACAGTGGTGCCTCGCTTGACGACGATAATCCCTTCCAGCAAAATTGCTGTAGAACGAAATCGTTGTCAAGCGAAAGTAAAAAAAACCAATTGAAATGCATTGAAAACTGGTTCAATGTGTTCTAATGGGCGAAATACCTCATTGTGCAGTGAAGATCCTCCATAGGTCAGCCATTTTCCAGTGCCTGTTAAGCGAGGAATCCGTCCTAAACACAGCGGGGAGCCATTCTGCACAGCGGGAGGCCATTTTGAGAGCAGCCGATCAGCTGTTTTAAAATCATTGTTTAGCAAAGAATCGGGTCCCGACGCAGGGAACCGATCGTCGTAAAGTGAATTTTCCCCATTTAAATATTGTTTTGCGATCGAAAAAACCTCATTGTAAAGCGGATTCGTCGTGGAACGGGGTAATCGTCAAGCGGGGCACCACTGTACATTGAATACATTTCATGGGCTGGGCCTTCATTCCATGACAAATTCACATTTATTCAGAACTATTAAATAGTGGTTGAAATCCTGGTGTTAGCATACTTAATTACACTACAGTAAACAAATTAAATCAATGGAGATTTTGTGAGTCAACTTCTTTGTAAGTTCCACTGATTCAAATGTGCCTATTGTAACTGCGACTTACTTTAGCATAATAAATCACAGTTACAGTAGACCCATCTGAATCAATGGAACCTACAGATTCAATGGGCCTACTCCAGTGCAATTTGCTAGGATAAACACCAGGAGTTTGGCTGATATTTCTGAACTGCATCTGACGTGACCTTTACTCTGTGAAAGATTGTTTTGCCAAACAAGTTAAATGTTAGCGTACTGCTGGATTCTTTGTTGTATTTCTATGCATTCATCTTCCAATTTATTTGGAGAGTGGCAGAGTTAACAGGCAGGGTGTGGGGTATCTATATGATTAGTGCAGCCCTCCAAAAAGCTATACATCAAAAATAGGGAACAAGTATTAGAATCACAATGAATATTCAACATGATTAATCTAGGTAAGTGGTTCCCAACCTTAGGCTCCCCAGATGTTCTTGAACTCAAAACTCCCAAGAAGTCTTCACCACTAGCTGTGCTTGCTAAAATTTCTGGGAGTTGTACAACAAAAACATCTGGAGACCCAAGATTGGGAACAAATGCAGCTGTTAAAGAAGTGATACACTTCATTGTTTTAAAAACGCATCTATTGCTACAAGGCAGTAACAGTTTGTAACCTGCACTTATATTCATTGTCATATAGTTATGAAAAACATTAAGAAAAACAAGCAGTATTATGTAAACACTCTTTAAATATGAAATCTAATCCAATCCACCTTGGTCTCTTCACTTCAGTGTTAAGCCTGAGGCTCTTAACATATTGTGCAGAGGTTGGTGCAAAAGAAATAAATCAAACTGGATTAAACTCTAATTCTGTTGAAGTCTGCTGCAGCAGCTATGCAAAACAGAAGGCATATATAACTTCCTTCGGAAATATTAGGAAAATGTCAGTAGGAGCTTGTGCACAGGCTGCAAAAAGTGCTACAACATGGTTTCCGCACTCCCTTTGTGCACTAGTATCTCTTGCTGAATAGAATACCCCACTCTGACAATAACAGAAACGTGACATCTAAAAATATTTGGCTTACAATCCCCAGAATCCCCCCCTCCAAATTTTGGTGGTTACTGGGCCCTCCAGTCTAGGAAAATCACTTTTCTCAAATCCCCCAAAGTTCAGTCTGCAAATGGATTATGTGCATTTTTGTCCTATTAATACAGAATGTAATTTTTTTAAAGTAAAACTTCTGTGATAGGATTGCATAAAGAATAGAAAATGATGGTTGAAATTTTCCAAGTGAAAAGAGAATTGATTGTTAGGTGTTATCTTATTAAAATGGAAGAATATGTACCAATATTACTGACTCCCTCTCTGTTCCCAGGTACAGTACATTATAGTAGAAAAGCTTCTAGAAATACATTTCCAAAAACAGGTAACATTTCATTGACTGAAAGGCTACAACTTTAATAGTACATCAGTTCCACCCCTTACATACTGTCACTACTACACAACTTTAGGGATTTGTATGGAAAATATTCCACATGTATGATCAAGAAGAAATCTGACCACTGATGGTCATGGGATGAGGCCTTCTCTGTTGCTGCTCCCAGATTCTTGAACTCGTATCTCATGAGGATAGATTGCCCCATCTTTATTGTCTTCCCACAAGTAGATGAAGACCTTTCTCTTTAGCCAAGCATTTTCTTAGTGAATGGCTGCCAAGTGGGTTTTTTTAAAAATGGATTACTGCATCAGTTTTGCTCATGGGTTGTTTTTTTGGTATTGTATCCATTGATCCTTTCAGAATTGTACACTCACTGTTATTAGCTTAAATACTGTTCTTTAATTGTTATAAGCCACCTTCAGTCCTTTTTAAAAAGGCCAGGTTAAAAATATTTTAAATAAATTAAATGGATGTACAATTAACACATGAAACAGGAGGGAAATTATTTTTTTAAAAGTACATAAAAACATGTAAAAACTAACTACAGCCCTCCTCTCATCCAGTCTCTGTTTATTTGGGATGTGGTGGTCAAGGGTTTTGGAAAACAAAATGTACTCTGGACAGAGAAGAATATGCATTTCATTAAGAAAGAACATTATTTTCAGAGAGATACACTCATTGTGTTTTTGATTCTGATGGCCACCTGACCTGCCATTTTGGGACACTTGGACAGCAAAAATTCTCAGAGAGAGGTGGTCCTTCAGATGTTTTAGACTTCAGTTTCCTGGAATCCCCACCCAGCATGGCCAGTGGTAAGGGATTCTTGGAATTGTGCTCCATAATAACTAGGGATTCAAAGGTTTTTCAGTCATGCTGTACAGCATTCGACTCTTGATATGCTTTGTCTTGATTGAAAAGGGAAGCACTGGGAGACAAAAGTTTTCTTTTCTGACACAGTTTCTATGCCCCCAAAATAATCTCCTTACCAGAAAAGCAAAAGGTGAAGATTTTACCTTCATGCCAGGACAAAATAATAATAATAATAATAATAGTAATAATAGTA